TGTGTGTGTGTGTGTGTGTGTGTTACCTGTGACAGCCCTCCGGATCTCCCTGGCTGCCTCCTCTCGCATTTCCAACGATGCCTGTTCACTGTACCAGGCAGCGTGTGGAGTGCAGATCAGATTGGGGGCATCCTTCAGTGGACCCTGACTGAAACTGACAAAAACACACACAGTGCATCGAGTTACAGATCATTTCATTTATCTCTGAATAATATTTTTTAATCCCTTAAGTTAATTAAAACTTCCAGTGAATAGAGATTCCATCAAAACAGAAATGCAGCATTATGTCTGAGATTTTGGTATTTTTGTTTGATTTGATTTAGTGTAGTTTTGTGTCAAAATTATTTCTCCATTTAAATGTTCATTTTAAAACTTATTCTGAGTACTATGGGCTTTATATAAAAGTTGAACATTCTTTGTATTCACTTGTAGTCGTGGAGAACTTACTTTTTTGGTATCATCACGTCTAATAACTGGTTAACAGTATTTCATCCATCTCTGGTGGAGAAAACAACGACTGCGTTTATCACATCATCAATCTGTGAGTTATTACCTGAAAGGCTCGGTCTCATGAACATCCAGAGCCGCTCCACGTATCCTCCCCTCCTTCAAAGCTTGAGCCAGGGCCTTCTCATCTACCAAACCCCCCCTGGCTGTGTTTACCAGGAACGCCCCCTGACGCATCTGTAACACATATACACAGTGATTTACTTCTGTCTAACAAGAGCCGTGTTCAATTTCTTTTAGAGGCAACTTGGCCAAAGAACACAATGAATTTAAACATCAATGTTTGATTACGGTCTTTGAAATGCACACACATGAACTTGTACACGGAGAAAAAAAACTTGTATGTAAAAGCTTAGAAAGCACTTGTCCCTGAAAAATATGTATTCTGCTCTCTGTGGTGATATTGATCCTCCTCCATCCCGTCTTATTTCCTCCAGCAAGGTCAGACTTGCTTAAGAGCTTTAATCCTTTGGGTTGAATATTTCCAAAGTGTATTAGCGTCGTATGCAGTGCACGTAGTAAAGAACCTCATTCATCTGTATGTAGGTAGTGAGCTTCCTGGGTATCCGCTCCTTTAATATTTATGGCCTTGGGTTGTAGCAGTTGATGTTAGAATAAATAAATCATTAGAGTGTGTCTGTGTGCTTGCTCGGACATGAATGCGTGTGTGTGTGTGTGTGTGTGTGCGTGCGCGCCTCCACCTGTTTGATGGTGAAGTCGTTGATCAGGTGGTGGTTGTGTTCGTTCAGGCTGCAGTGCAGAGACACACAGTCCGAGTGGAAGAGCAGGTCCTGAGGAGGGAGACAGACACGAGTGTTGGTAGATTCTTTTTAAAGGTTTTTATTTCCTGTAGTTTGTTATAAAGTTTAAAAAAGTACGTGAACCTTTTCAAGTCATATAACAAATTAAAAGGAACCTGAATATGAGCAGAATATGTTTCATTGAAAGGAAATATAATGGAGATTGATTAGCTTCTATTGCGACCACCGGATTCCCGTTAGTCTCTTTCAGCTGTGATAGTAAAAGTCAATGAAATCGATCGAGCTGGACGTAAAGCTATGGAAGCATTGTGTGTGAGCATAAACATTTCAAAATCACTGCACATTCAGGTGCTTTCTGATTTCACAGAAACAAACTGGCCCCTGTGTGTGCATGCATGCGTGCTACCTGTAGCGTGGTGACCCTTTGTAGTCCCAGGGATCTTTCTACTCCGTCAGCCAAATAAGGGTCATAGAAAATCACATTGAAGCCAAAAGCCTTCGCTCGCAGCGCTACAGCCTGGCCCACTCGACCTAGAAACACACGCACACACATTATTATACACACTGGTTCATTTAGACAGATTTCAACACACATTAATACATAATATTCCTTTTCACCCTATAAAAATAACACAAAGCTCTGCTACACATGTCTGCTCATTATTTCTGGAAAATACTCTGACTGCACAGGGAAGAGATTTACATTCTACTTCTGGTTTAATCCTCTTATATCTTATTGGCAGTAACTCCTTGGGAAGCCAACTTAGCCAAGCTAAGGATGAAGCTTCTCTAAATGAAAGTATAAAAAAAGAGGAAAATGGTTTGATGAGCAGGAACCTGATAGACTTTAGAATTTTTTAGATTTCACTGATGAGGCATTACTCACCGAGTCCTATGAGCCCCAGCGTCTCTCCTCTGATCCTCGCTGCACCTGAGGCCACCTCTCTGATCTGCTCCACGCTCTGAACCCGTGTGCCCTCCCGCAGAGCCTGACATAAATATCACTCAATTATTACATGCAAAAATGACACGGGCTACAAAAACATTCCATTTTACATAATCCAAGTAAATTTCTTAAGGAGGTGAAGACTCCTCTTAATAACAAGAGTCTAAATCCGTTTAGATATTATGATTAAAATATGACTAAATGAGGATTAAAACTAAAAATCATTTTACTGTACCTTCTACATCTTACATCAACGTCTTTCAAATACAGCCACATTCTAAAGGAAACGAAATGTTTCAATTTTGCTTATTTGTCGGTAGAGAATTATTAGTAACTGTCGAAACCAAACGTGCACCTGTAACAGTTCAATACATTTAAAATGTCAAATCCAGTTTATGTCATTCCCCTTTTTATCGGCCACACTAGGCCACGCACCTGATGCAGCCAGGTGGTGCGTCGGTACAATGTGAGGATGTGGCACAGTGTGGAGTCTGCCGTCTCCTCCACGGAGGCTGCTGGCATATTACATACAGCGATGCCTGTTCAACCAGAGAGCAGACAAGGATCAGTAATCGCTTTTTGGGTCATTCAAAGAAGGAGCTGAAGTCTGGCGAAAGCTATTTCAGTGGAGCAGTGCAGGAGGAAGACAGGATGTCAGCAGTTTTCTCAACAAACACCACCGGAAACTTTCACATGTCACAGCCTCTCGTTGGAGAGGTTCGTAAAGCTCTGGTTATTGCAGGAGAGAGATGAGTTTAAAATTTTTTTTGACTGCGTTCAGCTTTTTTATACAATTATTTTGACCTTGTCAACACGCTCGGCACCAACTGGAAGCCAGCAATGGAAATGTTTTGGGAGAATTTAAATTATACCTTTATTTGTAGAACACTTTACATAAAAGTAAAACAAATGGAAGCATAACATTGGTGGAATGAGACATAACTCCTGTTAAAGAAAGTATATTTTATAAAATTGAGTTTAAGCACAGATGAGTGAGCAACGACTAACATTTAAAACAAGGAGAATAAATTGTAACTTCAAAAAGTTAAATATTAGCAATATTGGTAGTTAAATAAGTGAAATTAATATGTGGTACTGGTACTTTCAGTTAGGATATAGGAAAACTATGAACATTAACCTTATGTTTTGAGCTACCTGGAACTAATTGATAAATATATAAATGTAAGATTTCTCACCTAATATGGTTCTGAATAATAACTACAAAACATGTTTGTAGTTATTTCACAACAAACATAAAATCCATGGCAGTGATTCATTTTGCTTTTACAGAGTAACAAGTATTACAGTACGAGTACACACCCTCTCTGATTCTGTGTGTGTGTGTGTGTGTGTTGTCATGTTCTCACCCAGCTCCCCGGCAGATTTGATGTCAATGTTGTCGTAGCCGCTGCCGATGCGGACGATTATACGCAGAGCTTTAAACTTCTCCAGGTCTTCTCTCATCAAAGTGATGGTGTGGTACATCAGAGCTCCTACAGCTTCATTCAGCACCTGAACACAACACACACACACACACACACACAGACAGACAGTCAGTGATATGATGGAAATATGTCTCTTCATTGATCCCCTGTCTTTACACACATGCATGAACCCGTGTCTATTTACAGCACAATAGGGTGGTACTCTGAACATGTACATTAATGCAAAGTTGTGTGTTTGTGAAGTAGTGAGCACAAGTCAAGCGTGGCTCTGCAGAAAACAGCCACAGTTCACTGAGTTCACTGTCACTGTGTTTCTCCATAAAGGCTTTTTCTAAAGGTGCTGTTTATATCATCTCACATCCTGTTGTTTTATATTCCCGTCTGCACACAATAACGGCATTTCCTGAATATTACCATGGAAACTGAGCTTCTATAACCACAGGAAACGACGTATGGTGTCCCGACATAAAGCAAAACTGAGTAATATTAGCAGCAGTCTCATTCTCAGCGCTTCTCTGTGGCTTCTAATCAGGACGACGCTGCTTCTCTAGTGATAATGAGATATTATAACTCAAAGAGAAGATGCATTGATTATCATATGAAACAGGAATATATGACTCTGTGAAAACCAGTTCAGCCGTCGCCTTGTAATTGACTCTCACTTAATCTTTCAATCTTTTTTTGAACGTTGCCAGGCTTCCTCTTCATGTGTGGGTGGAAATGACATGCGGTTCAATTACAATAAAGAAGCCCCCTTTAATTACACAATGAGGTTGCTTCTTACTAGAGAGCCAGGGAAAGAGAGCGAGGGAGAGCCATCTGTTTCTCCCACGCTGTGGCCTACTGAGCACGCTCACAGAGCGAGTGTGCCTGGCAGGCGCCCAGAAAGAGACGTAACCCTGCCAGACATACAAACCCATTTACGATCCATAGTGGCTGTGGCACGATCCGAGCCTGACCCACATTTTAAGTCTGCTCTCTGTGCTCGTCTTTACGCTTCTTCACTTATTTTACCGTCTTTCTTTAACATATCTTTTCTCTTCGTCTCTTTTGATCTGTCTTCACTTCAGATCGTCCGTTTGTGAAGGGCTAATGCTGCATTCAGGTCATGTTGTCACTATTTTGTAGACTGTGGTGTTTGGTGACATCTTGGTCATAATGACAGTCTGAACAATGTGTAACTAGAATTGCCATCAGCAGAGAGCATACCTCCACCAAGGCCCAACAGTCCCCTTAAATGAAAACAAACCTTATGGTTAATGCCATGTTTCCCAACAGTGGCTGAAAAGAGCTTATACCCCTACAAAACCTCATTTAAATCCATAAGATCCAGACTTTCAATAAACGAGTTTGTGTGCATTGTTTAGATGAGTGTGTTACCTTCTCGTGAATCTCCTGTGTGGACTGAGCATCACAGAAGGCCACAGTTGCTACGTCTTTCAGGATGGGCATCTCCACAGTGCAGTCACGCCCATCCAGCAGGGCCACCAGGGGGCGCGGGTGCATGGGCCCGTTCATGATGGGAGGCCTGATACCTACACACACACAGAAAGTAGAGATGTTGTGATATTTTGCCCCCTGCTTTACATTATTACACTTTCAGGCATTCGTTTGCTTTTGAATTCTCTCTGTGTCTTAAACAAATCTATTTTGTGCATAATGAAATCTAAAACTGAAGGTATGTGGCTGACGCTGCATCCCATAATGCTCCTGCGCCGGACTGATGCAGTTGCTATGACAACTGTAACAGTAAGCATGGGGGAGGAAAAAAGGAGAAATTCCCAGGGCAGCTGTCGTTCCACAACAGAGCCCAAGTCTCCCTGAAAGAGGTTGTTTCTCAGCTGTTTTCTCCCCGTGTTGCTTTTTATGTTTTCAGTTTAATTATCTCTGACTTTTAGATGAAGTTTGCTGACTCTGGGAAACAGGCAGTAATTGGGAAGGTGCTCGTGTTTCTGTAGGTTTGTAGAAAAAAAGCACAACTTGTCATTTAGAATCGCCGAACATTAAGAATCTCCCTCTAGAATCAAAACTCAGGAGTTTAGTATTTCACCCTATTTGCATTATTTTAATGAAGCTGTCATTTATTCATGGTGAATGTAAAGGCTCGTCCCTGTGGACCATCAACAGTGACTCTGTAAAGTGGGACACTGGTTTTCTTGCAGACTTGGCAAGAAAACAACTGAGTATGCAGACTTGAAGCTCTAGTTTATGTCTCAATTACTCGAGTATCCAGCACATAGTGGTTACAGTTGGCTGTTGATATACAAATATGCAACATAAATGTGGAGTGCCATAACTCCAAGCCTTAAAAATGGCACTGAAAATAATAAGTGCAGTGGTTCATATCAAAGAGTTTATATAAGGATTGATGACTCGTCTGCTCCCCAAAAGTGAAGCCAAAATGAATTGATCGCCTCCTGGTGGCTGGCTTCAGTATAAGTCATAAACCCCACCTTTCCACGGGACGCCTTGTTAAATAATCCCTTTAAGTTGAAAGCATTACCCTGAGAGTGAAGCCCAACTTTAAAGGAGAAAGAGCAGCATCAAATAAGGCAAATACACCAGCAAACCCATAGTGAGCGATTGAAGGTAACAGTGCAGGGGCAGTTATTAGTTTTCTTTCACTATAACCTCCCTCTGCATCGTCCTGTATCAATTTGTCGTCTCTTCTTTCATGTAACTGAAGAGTTAGTCATCGTAGATCACTGACCGACAACCAGGAAGTCTGATAGACTGACAGATTTAGATTCAGGAAGGAAAAAGACAGTGTTTTTGTAATTGGGTCTCTTTGACATGTAAAGTGTCGACAGCACTCTGAAACACTGCAGAAGAAGAAGAGCAGAGTTATGCCTGTTTCTGCTGATGCTGACTCTGCTCATCACTCACTCTTGACTTTTTCCCATCTGAGATGTGCCGGCTGCCATCTCAAATAAGCAGCTGCGTCTGTCGTTTTTTCTCAAAATATTCCCCCCGAAAACTTTTTGCTTGGAACTCAGACCTCCAAACAGAGCCTGTTTTCTACCTTAGTGGGCTAAACTCATGAGAAACTTGCCAGATCGTTAAACCAGTCATTTCAAAATCAGCATCTGACAGTGAGTCTCTTTTTATATTTTGAATTCCAAGGATCCATGAGAATCAGACTTGTGGACAGATGTTTGGCAGCTTCCATCCTGCAAATTAGCCTGGAAAATTTGGGCAGGGATACTTAGCGATGCTCTTCCCTTAGAGCTGTCGTTAAATAGCCCATAGGCAAATAAATTAAAGGAAAGGTCTCCGCTGGAATCACACTCATGCCGTCAGTGTCATTACAGTGATTTTGCAGATGTGTTTTTCTAATGAAGCTTCATAATTTACCAGTTTTCTTGTACCTCACTGTCTGTCTTGATAAAATAGGTGTTTTTTTTAGGTTTTAGAACTATGCAAATACAAATGTTTTATTTTATTTGTTAAACCCAGTATCTTGTGATTGCATTACTAATGCAAGCTCCTGTTGTTATAAAAAACATATTTTGGCTTCTTCTGCAATCACTTGATTGTTTTCTGTTATGCTGAGAGATGTAATCCTTTATTCAGAGTGACATCTTCAGCATTAATGTTTTAACAACTTGTCAGCTTTCAAATATCAGTGTTTCTGTGCTGGGAATATGTGTTACCACATCATCTGCCTTTAACTAGATACCAGTAACCGCTGATGTGAAACAGCTTAGTGACCAGAGGGTGATGACTGTTGTACTGAGCAGTTCCCAGAAGTGAATGTTAGTGTATCTGTATGAATAATATGATCCAGAAGCAGTGAGGTGCTGAAGAAAACATGCAGTAAACCTCTGTGGGCACATGCAGATGTATGATCGTCCACACCCTCGTATTCAGGATGTCTAAAAACATATACTGCTCAATCTGAAACCGTGGATATTTTTTTTCCTGCCGACTCCCAGGGGTTTCTGTGGTTGTTGACTGGGCCGATGTGCACGCATGAGGAAATAATGCATACAGTGATTACATGGATTTCTGCTTCATGCTCCACTGTGCTGCATTGTGCAGAGTTTGGATGTGACAGAAAACAAGTAGAGAGAGCAGACAGGAAGTGTCTGTGAAACCATAGTGCGTACACTTAGGATCAGGAATGTGAGGCTTATTTTTGCATCTACGTTTACGCCTTTACAGTGTCAGATTTGTGATCCAAATTTTCCTTCGGGCATGTTCTTTGCAACTAATCTGAACGTCACTGTATGACGATAAAACCACTATCCATGTGCGTACCCTGTTAAAACAAAAATCCAAGACTTAGAATTTTGCAGCACTCAGAAACTGCACTGAAGCAAAGACGACTCACATCTTATCAAAATCCATCTCTCAATTTCTGCCTTGTCTCCTTATCTCCATCTTCAGACTACAGCATGAAACCTGATCTGATGAAGCAGCCCCCGCCGTCCACTGTAAGACCAATAAAGGTGAAACTCAAATCGTGCTCACTGAGCCTTATGTGGCCTGGTAAAACATTAGCTTTCTGTAATAGAATTTGCCCGGAGGCCGTTGCACTTAGACATCAATACAAAATCAATGGTGCATAGCTGAGAAATTGGAACAAGAAGTACTGTGAGGCTTCAACACAGCGCTCATTGTAACTCAGATGTAATCATACAACGCTCGCTCGCCTGTAGATGCTGCTCTGTGCCCTTAAACTCGTCTCCTGCAGGATTTGAATTGAGCTTGTGAACAATGTGAGCTTGATTGAACAACACTTGAACAAAATACTGAAATCTGCTCCGTCTTGTCAGTCTTGCAGCAGACTGAAGTATTTTTTGGAAAGTAACAGAGATTCCCGACATTTCTGCTGCTCACACTTGGTCAGAGTGAGGGAGGAAATAGCTCTCATTCCAGCTCCAAGCATGACCTTGGAGGGACCACTGACTGCTGAGTTGTAGTATTCTGTCTCTATGTCTCTCCCACAAACACACACACTAACATACTAACGCACACACACACACACAAGCCTAATCTCATCATTGTAAATATTAATCCTCTCTCTCTTTTTGAATTCTCAAATCGAACCAGCTCAAACGGTCGTTATCTCCCAGTCTGTCTCTCTCTCTCTTTTTTTAAATTTCATGTATTTCCTCGTTCTTCCCGTCACTTTAAACACTCATTAAATTCCTCATTATATTAAATAATTGCCCCCGACTTTCTGCTCACTTGGTTCCCAAACTTTAAACCCTCATCCATCTCTTCCATCTCTCCTCTCCATTTCTCATTATACTCAATACTCCAATATTTTCTCTCTCTCTCTCTGTTTCTCTGTCTCTCTCTCTCTACCCCCCACAGCCCCGGGGTTGGGTGACTGATGGGAGCTTTCACAGTGCAAACAGCCGTCTCTACATCCACAGCTCCAGTTCTGCTCTTTCCATCTATACAGGGATTATCTGCAGCTATGCTTTGAATCAGATTCACCACTGTATTTAGGCAACACTTCGAGGCCGGGCAACAGCACAGTGATAGTGATCTGCAACAGAGGCCAACATCGTAAATTGAAGGAATAAAAGTTTTGCAAGTGGTAATTTTTCTATAAAAACAAAATCCATCTGGGTTTTAACACCTCTGCACGTGTAGTTTATACTCAATGGCCCAAGACACAAACTGAATTCCCTGATATGAAAATTTCCTTTCCGGAAACATTTGTAATCAGACCCAAATGACTCTTCAGATGGAAAAAGCCTCTGTGCTAGTGACTGCTGGGACTGCAGAGGCAGTGGGAAAGCCCCGCAGCCTGCCCGTATCCAGCTGTCACTGACCAGCTCAGAAGAACAGCTGGATTTTTGTCCCTGAGGAACAAGACAATGTTTTCAGATTGTCAGTCCACAGAGATGATGAACAATATCAGCAAGTTCACCAGAAGCTCACATAGTTATCTGCCAAAATGAGCTGCAAGTCGTTTTTTACAAACTGTTTGTTTAAACTTTTGAAAAAACAAAGTTCATACATAAATCTGCAGCCGAGATGACTCCTCATTCAAGCAATTAGTCGATGGACAGAAAAGTGATCTGCAACTATTTTCATAATCGATTCATTTTCATGTTATTTTAATGAAGAAATGGAAATTTTTCTCTATTTTCAGACATTTTATACATTTAGATGTTTATTGATTAATCAAGGGAGCATTTAGCTGATTAATGAAAATGAACTTTGTGCTGAAACAACAGATCGATTAGTCAAAAGAAATCAATTTTTAATTCATGTGGTTGTAAATCAAGTATCCAGCAAAAACATGTCAAGCATTTGTTATTTTCAGACTCTTCAGAATTTGTTACCTTCTCTGTTTTATAAAATTGGACTGAAGACGTCAACTTTGACTTTGTAGTTTGTTCCTACTGTTTTTTTAAACTTTTATAGACCAAATAATTGATCACTGAAATAAAAAAAAACAGTAAGCCCATTAATCAGCCATGAAAATAATAATTGCAGCTCTACATAAATCTTATTTGTGTGAGTTCTGTTCAACTTAAAAACCTCTCACTTCCACAGCACATGGACCTGTCACATAT